TTAATATTTTCCTCCTTTTATTTAAAAAAAAAAAAAAAAAAAAAGAGATGGGTTTCAACCCTGGCTGCCCAAGAAGTTTATCTAAAGGAGCATGAAAAGTCCCCTGGAGCCCAGGCCCTAACCCAGACCCTAACCCAGACCAAAGAAATCAAGATTGCTAAGGCAGAAACTGGGGAAGACAGTTTCCACCACTCCATGGGTGATGTTCCACCTGCAGCCAACTGTGAGGACCACTGGTCTGGGGCCGTAATTTCTTTCTCAGTCCCTCTTTGACAGTAAATCCAGTGACAGGCTCTACCCTGTGTGGATCACCTGGTCTCACAGTCTAACTACTAAAATCTTTCTTATTGCCCAGTTTTACAAACAGAAGCACATAAAACAAAAACATGCAAACCAAGCATTTTCTAAGCAGTTTAATGTGATAAAATCATTGCAAGGGTCATGGTTGTATTTCAATTAAGGATAGTACCCTAGAACAAGCAACTTGTCTCTGTTTTCCTGGGACTTTCCTAATTATCACAACACAAGTCTTGAGTTCTGGAATGCCCACAATGCTAAGCAGTCAGGGACAGTTGGTCATACTACCCTGAATTTGACTGGTAATAATTAAATGGACACTTTGGTGTTCAGTAGTGCAGCCCTGAAGGAGCTTGGGAGTTAATATCAACACAGCAGTTCTCACACACATAAGCCAGACTGAAGAAGCCGGACAGAAAAGAAATTGTACTACACATAGTTGTTTGAATTCTAGACTACAAACAAATCTGTAGTGCAAATCCACTCACTGCCTGCGTGGTGGAGGGGTTTACTGTGACAGTTATGGACTTTCTGGCATAATGTCAGTGGTTTGCATCTTGATAGGGATGGAAGCTTGCTAGATGTATCCATTTATTAAACCCCATTCAGTAGTACACTCGGCAGGTGTCCATTTCAAGCGTGTAAATTTCACTTGTTCATAAAGAGTAAAACCTCATGAGAAATGTTACTGCTGGAACACATCTACTGCGTTAACTAGTTTGCTGCAGGCACTGTGGTTTTTACTGAAATAGCACTGCCAGGAGCTGTTTTGATGTTGCTTCCCCACCTCCCAGCCTCAGGAACTTCCTAGGAGGAGACTCTAAATAGTACTTCTAACCCCAGCGCTGGCAACAGGTGTCTCACAGATGACTTATTCAGCATATTTATTTTATGAACAAGGCAGGGACTTGAATGACAGAGCAAACAGATCTCCTGCCACGGCCCTCATTCTTTGAGTGTCAGGGTCTCCGAGTGCTTGTTAGAAATGCAGGTCCAAAGGCTCTCCTAATACTCAGAAATTCTGGGGGTACCCAACTATCCACGAATCCACCAACCCACAGAAGGTCTGGGTGGAGCCTCAGGACAGAGGAGATGCATTTTCCAGATACAGCTCACATTTCAGAGTGACCCTAAACACTGTGTGATAGAGTTCCTGGCTCTGAAGAGAAGAGTAACTTCTGAAGAGATGCACATTTTGATTCTTCAAAAAAAAATTTTTTGCCCCACTCACAAAATACTTTTAAAGAATGAGATAAGAAATAAAAACAATGCCACGTGTTGCAGAATCTAAGAGACCAGGTGGAGGATATAAACACACAAGATGAAAAGTAGCAGTTTAAGAAACCATGTGACATTGTTGTCACGACTACACAGCCAAGTTACCTGGCAGAAGTTTCAGTGCATGACACACCCAGGAAAAGCAATTCCAGGCGTGGGGGATCACCAGCATCACACCTATGGAGAGCTTCCTCATTGCTCAGAGATGACCCCACAAAGAGCTTTGTCCTCTCATGACAACCGATGATGGTACACTAGGCAGATGGGCCTCCCTCCCCATTGGTCAGTGGAAGAAATGCGTAACTGGAAACATGAGTGGCCAACCGTCCTGCTGGAGGGGAACCAAGCGGAGAGAGTGAGGGAGGTCACTGTGATAGAGTCTCATGTGACAGCCCTGGTGGAAGAGGTGACAAGCGTGGTCTGCTAGATGCCATTCAGTACCAGTCAGGGGGAAAAGCACACCAGGAGAATTGATTACCACTGATCAAAAACTGTCTAACAAATTATACCACTAAAAGCACAAACATTATGCATAGCCTAATAATTACTTAGGTATTCAGTAAATAAAAACAAGGAAAACGTATTAATGACAGGAAAACGGGCAGTGTATAAAAGGCTGCTTCACAGAGAGTCTTCTAAACCCCAGAACCCCACTCTCCTGGAAATCCACCCAGAACCTTCAGCCGCCAACACCATGGTCAACTCCTGTTGTGGCTCCGTCTGCTCTGAGCAGGGCTGTGGCCAGGACAGCTGCTGCCGGCCCAGCTGTTT